ATTGGGGATTTTTCAGAATAATGAGCGGTTACCATGGACTCGTGTTTGGAACCTGCGAATTCCCCCGAAAGTAAAAGCATTTTTTTTGGCAGCTTATGGTTGGTGCATTGCCAACAGTGGCGAGGTTGAGGATGAGACATGTCGAGGTAGACTCAATTTGCCCGTTGTGTCGAGATGGAGAGGAGGATGAGCTGCACTTATTCCTGAATTGCATTTGTGTCAAGGAGGTTTGGAGTCATCTTGGGACCAGACTTGTACGTACTGAGCAGTCCCTGGAAAGTTGGGTTAATGCTATGTTTGCAAACTTGGTGGAAGAAGACTTGGGCAGATTTGTTGTTTCTCTTTGGAGTATTTGGAATCAGAGAAATAAATTGGTTTGGAAGGGTGAGGTGTTCTCAAGTGGGAGTGTCCTGACAGTAGGAACTGCTCTTCTCAATGGATGGCAGTGTGCACAAGTGCAAACAAACAACCACCAGAAGGCCGGGGTTTTCAAAGACATGCCCAGGTGGCAAAAACCGGGATTGGACTATGTTAAAATCAATGTAGACGCAACAGTGGATCAAAATAGCGGAGTGAGGGCATGGGGTTGGGTGGCTAGGGGTGAGAATGGACTTTTCATCCAAGCTCGAACGAAAGCGATTAAAGCTGAATGGTCATCAGTAGAGACAGAAGCATTGGGAGTTAGACAAGCGGTTAGTTGGGCTAAGGAGACAGGGTGGGCAAAAGTTGAAATTGAGACTGACGCAACCTTGGTGGTGTCAGGTATACTAGATAAATCTGGGTTCACTTACGTTGATATCATTATTGATGATATTAAACAGATGTTATGTGAGTCTGATAATTTTCCAATCAAATGGTGTAGAAGAGCTGCGAATCGTGTTGCTCATATGTTAGCTAGGGCAGCTGTTTCTACACCAGGTTGTATGAATAACTATATGTTTCCACCTGATTACATTGTAAGCCAGTTGCTCATATGAAAGTTTTAGTCAAAAAAAAAACGATTCGAAGTTGAAGCAACCTATATTTTTCTAATTGGCTATTTAGAAAAATATATTTACCGCTGCGTTTAGTATCCTAATCACGAGAAATGATGTCTCATACGATCAAATCTATTTGAGAAGCTTTTGGGTCATTTTTTAATGAAATTTTGTGAGAATGTTATTCACAAAGTTTAAACTATGTTCACAAAATATCTTCTTAAAATGTACTCCCTCCGTCCCCCTAATATTGGTACGGAAGGGAGTGGTGTGATTTTTAAGAAAAGTAGAATTATGTGGTTGGTAATGAGTTGATAAAGTGGAAATAAAGTAAGAATGAATTAAAGCCACACAAATGTTACAAAATATGGTATGAGACAATAATAAAGGGACATCCAAAAATGAAAAAATGGGACAATTATAGGGGGCGGAGGGAGTAATTAGGAAGTCATTTAAATAAATTATTCAATATTTTTATTTAATAATTTATTCAATATAATTATATACTTTTTATGTGAAGTATATAAACACAATAATTTTCAATAATTTATTTAACTTAATTCTGAACTTTAATGCACATAATCAAATTTACCAAACTTTCTTTCAAAATGTAACACTATCTTCGTTTCGATAAGGTTCGTCATGTTGACGTTTCTTGATTAATGATGATAAATTTTGAACAAAATTTTTATTTACAATATTTGCATGTAATTTATATATTTTATATTTTGAATAATCAACATTTTGTTATAATTTTCATATTCAAAATAATTTCACGGGTAAAATCTTGGTAGAATAAATTTTAGGGAATAAGACTCAAATAAGACTAAAACAATGGGTAGGAATGGAGATAGGAGTTCCGAGTTTTTTACTCCTAAATAAGATTAATTTTGAATCGGAAGGACAAGAATACCCCTGCTCTTCCAATACAATGCGCACCGCATAGCAGCAAAGAAGACCGCATCACGTGGGACATGGAGCACATCTCTGAGATGCGATGTGATAACTATCTGAGTCCTCGCTGGACCGATTCTCGCCACCCGACTCGCCGGCCCGCTTATCACCGTCGGAACAATGTTCGTCGCCGCCTCGCCAGAGAAGTTGGAGTCTGTTATTTCCGTTCTCTACCCTATCGGCAAACTCAGTCATCGTTTTATTTCGTACCAGTTATAATTTAGGGGTGTAACACCAACCATGATGGGGAGCGGCTCTTTGGCCGAACAACAGAGGAGGCACGCAGAAGCCGAATAAGAAAGGTCGGGACAATTGCGCGGCAGCGGCCAGCCAGAGCTTGGGGGGCAAATAAACGATCGGCGGTGGGGACGAGATACAGGGCGCCGCCAATGAAGATGCTCCGGATCTCTCCTCTTTTCCTTGTTAAAGTCGGTCGCGGCTCTTCTCTGCGTTTCTTTTGTCTTTTTCTTTTGTTTTCTTTGGTTGTCATTGTGTTTTGTCAGGTGGTCAACTTTTTGGTTTTTTTCATCCTGAATGCTTTTTGTTGTGTTTCTTATTCTTTCTTTTTTAATTTAAAATTTCCTTTTCCAAAATGTAATTTTGTTTTGTTAATTTTTTATAGAAACATGTAGAGAACTTTTTCAAAAGCAATGCCATTGTTTTTAAGAATGACATCATTGTCATAATGTTTTTATAACATTGACATTGTCATGACACTCGTTGACATCAGTATTTACATCATCATTTTTGGAATTTAATAATTAATCACCACTTTCTGTAAGGGTAAAAAATGAACTGATATATAACATCATTTTTGAAAATTATAATGGAGCTCCCATTTTGAAATTAAGTTTGCGGAAATTATAAAAAAGATCCCGTTTCAGTTTACTATGTCGGTTGTATTTATAACCGTTATAAAAAACATTTGTATATTTATAATACTCACCCGCCTAACTTACTCGAATTTTCTTTATTTATAAAGATGACCCTGTGCCTACATATTATAACGGTCTTGACTGAACCCATATTAAAACATACTCCCTCCGTCCCTAATCTTTCTCCCTTTTCGGCTGAGCACATTTATTAAGATAGTGGGATTTGTGTGGTGGAGAGTTGTGCAGAGGAGAGAGAAATGTGTAAGATTGTGTAAGAATGATTGTGAACCACAAATTTTTTGCTAAAAGGGGGAAGAGGAGATAATTTTGGGACGGACGAAAAAGGAAAGTTTGAAGATAATTTAGGGACGGAGGGAGTAGTTATAGAATGTATATTTTGCACTAGTGAACAATGTTACGTTTTGTATTTGTTTTTCAGGTTTTCTATTTTGTTTTTATTTCACGCAATGATATTAAATGTCAAACAATGACACCATTACATTGTCATGATATAATGTCATTGTATATTATATTGTTGTATAACGATATTATACGACATAGTCAAAATGTGTTTTTCTATAAAAACAGTCATTTTTATATTATTGTCATGATTTTTAACAGTGATCATTTTTATAACATTGATATTGTTACGACAATCATTGACTTCGATATTGACATTGTCTTTGATACAATGTCATTTTTGATAGCATTGAAATTGTCATTGTCATTTTTACAATGTTATTTTTGTAACATTGACCTTTTCATTATTTGACATTGTGATAATTTTCTGTCATTTTGACAGATTCTAATATTGTAAATTTTTACAATGATATGACATTGTCACATATCTCAATGTCATCATAAAAAACAATGTTACTTCACGATTATGTATCAATGTCATTTTTATAGCATTGAAGTGACATTGTCATTATTACAATATCATTTTTATAGCATTGAAATGACATTGTTATTATTACAATGTCATTTTTTAAATTATTGACATCGTCATTTTTACAATGTCATTTTTTAAAGCGTTGGTGTTGACATTGTCGTGGTCATTATTTGACATTGTTTCATTCTTTGTGGTTCATAAAACGGAAAACGGGATACATTAAAACGGAAATGGCATTAAAACGGAAAATGGGATACATTAAAACGGAACTTAACACACCAAATCAAGGTAAATGAGTTTGTTCAATTTCAATCGATATAAAAACTAAATAGAAAGGCTACAAATCCAAAGATCGTTATCTGTAACTAAATAATTACTCCGTATTACTTTCCATAGTCTATTTAAATACGAGTAGTATTTACAACTAAGTGGGGAGAAATTAATTAATCAAAAGATCAATACTCCACCAAGTCTATAGCAGGATCATCAAGAAACCAAGGGCGTTAAAGCAGTTTCTATTTTGAAAAGGGGAAACAATAATAAACAAAAAAATTCCTTTCAAAAAAATACTCAAACAAAACAAAATTGAATTACACTCGAACCAAAAAAGCAAAAGAAGAGTTAAGGAAGAAAGAAAACAAGAGGTTCTAAAACAGAGCAACGACCTGACAGTAGAGAAAATAGCGGCGACTGAAGAAGAGAAGAAGAAATGTATTTCAATTCGATCGGTATCATCCGATTTTCTCTACCTGCAGCTACTTCCCCTAATTTTTTCGGATCCTCCCAAGTCCCTTAGAAACCCTAGAATTTAAGGTTTTTAGGAGGTTCAATAAATTTTACATAGCCTCATGATTTTATTTAAAAAAAAGAGGAGAAGAGAAGGAAAAGAGAGATCTGTATCATCTTCTCCGTTCGCCGGCGCCGCCTTGCACCTCTTCCTCACCAACTCGCCATTCATTCTCTCTTTGGTCTTCAACTCTAGCCTGCCGGATCTGAGAGTATCCGCCACCGCTATTGCTGTGCTTTCCGGATCATAGAAGAACATGAATGAATAGAATGAAGAATGGAAGAAAACAGGGAGAAGGAACGGGAGAAGACCACAGAAAGCCAGAAAAATGCGAATTAAAAATAAAAGTGGGATCCCAGAGGAGCGTATGCGGAATACTCGTAATTAAGTAAGGATAAAGTGGGAATTAATAATAAAAGTAGTCCTATTTAAGAATTAAAAAGTACCTGGTCCTATACGTGTACATGTTGAAAGTTCTACTCCTATTTAGCACCATTTCTCTAAATTTTATATAGGCCAAAAAAATCTGCCAATCACCGCCTCTTAGATTGAGAATGTTACTCGTTCCGAAATGTTTAGCTTCCATGGCTACCACGAATTCCCTCTTCCTCTTACGGTAACGCCTCACCCTCTCCAGTATTTTTCTATCATTTTAGCTTGTGATTGATCAATTTTTATACTTGGTATCATTTTAGCTTGTAATTGAAGGGATAAATTTTTGAACTTTTAGAGGTCCGCTGTCGTTCCGAGCTTTGGGTGTGGTCGGGTCGTCAAAGGGTCGTCTTCCACAGTGTCCCAAACTCTTTTATCCTGCACTTCACTGCCGGAGGTCTAGTTTCTGGTTTTTGAACTGAATATGCTTGAAGTCATGTCTTTGTTCCTTGATTATTGTGTATTCAATTGCTGTCTTTGCTCATGATTCTTGGTTTCCATTCTTCCAATTTATATGTGTTCAGTTTTAATAAATTTACTGAAAGTAGGTGCTATTTATGTTGGCCCAAGTTTTGAGATTTTTATGTTCTGTTTTTTTTTCTCTAATCATGCATTCTATTACTAAAAAACATATGATATGAAAGATGATCTTATTAAATGTGTAACTACCTGCACCACTTATTAAATATGTATGACCATCCGCTGGGCAGGGGCTTGACTGCCACCTTATATAAAAGTCTCAAATAATAAGGAAATTTTTTAGGTAATATAAATGTGCAATAGTGCCTCAATAAAATGTCATTTAAATAGAAAACATCAGCAGCTTGGTTATCAACTACCAAAGTACCAAGTATAATTCATCATTTTTCTCCATTATCCTGAAACACTATTTGTGAAGACAGTGTCTTTTTTACATTGTTTTAAATTAATATTTATGTTTACTGCTCATAGTATTTATAGAAAATACCTAAATAGGAGTAAAACATAGCATGTTTAAATTAGTTTTTCCCAACTAGCCGCCTTGCCATGACCGGTCGCCTTGCCTGCTGAGTGCCACAGATTGAATGGCATTGGTTAGATATCAACAAGGCATTCATAGACGGCCGAGGACAAATTATTTGTTAAATTTATTTTGGCCTGACAGTCCAATCCGCCAAGTTTGCATTGTTTTTCTGACTTTTCTAGTTTTCTTCTTTCTACATTCATTTTTCTTCACTTTCATTTCTTTTATTTGAATTTAACTTTTTCCTTATGATTTTTTTCATTTATTTAGTTTAGATGTCAATCACATCACCACATCACTACTTTTTGCTTAATAATTGTAGTTAATGAATTAGAAATAAATGTTAGACTCATGTTTTGGGTCACTATAATGAGTTAGTAACTCATATACTATACGAAGTAGTTAATATTATATTTATATAATACTACCTCCGTCCCTTTAACATTGGTACAAGAGGAGGTGGTGCAATGATCAAGAAAATTGAATTTATATGGTGGGTATTGAATTGATAAAGTCAAAATAAAGTAAGAACGATTTAGAATCACACAAACATTACCAAATTTGGTATAAGTCAATCTTAATGGGACCAACAAGAAAAAACGGGAGTATGGGACAATCTTAACGGAACGGAGGGAGTATATTATCTAAAAATATTACGTGCGGCTACTTGTCGCATAGGCGACAAGGCAGTTCGCTGAGGCGCCATACCTTGCCTATACGCGTGACAACCTTGATCTCATTTCACAAATAGCTAGCAACTTTAGCCGTTTTGTTAGACAACTGAGACAAGAAACTAAAACATTGCATAATCTAAAACTTTAAACAAGTTATGAAAAATGGGAGTATAGAAACAAGTTGCTAAAGCTTGCTTTAATATTTGCACCTCAGTAACTTGTTTCGTTACTCCCATATTTCATAAGGAGAATTTGACGCATAAAACTGGAAGGTTGAAATATTTTTACCGTAAAGAGAAGAAACTTCTATCATACAGCCACTAAACTAAGGGAGTGTTTGTGGTCAGTGCTACTTTAAAAAAGTGATTTTTTGAAGTGCTTTTAGAGGAAATGTTTAATAGTAAAAGTTTGTACTTTGTAGTGTTTTAGAAAAAGGGGATTTTGAAAAAGTAAAAGTTGGTAGTATTTGGTAAAAAAAGTACTTTATGTGTAATAGAAAAGGTTAAAAGCTGTTTAAAGCACCCCTCAACCTGCTTCTAGCTTTTATCTTTGAAGTGCTTAATTTAAGCCGAATTTGTCACTTGAAACCACCGATTTCAGTTTTTTTAAAGCAAAAAGCTGAAGAACACTTTTTTTAATTTTTTTGCAAACACTCCTTAAATGTCTTTATGGTAGTGAGTTTGGTGGTGAAAAAGCCAAGTGTGTTTTAAATGGTCACTGTTTTGAGGGTTATATGGTGGAAATGTGAAAATACTAGGAAGTACTATTAGAAAGGACATTATTTGAAAAATGATGATGGAGGTTACTATTGTGGGCAAATATAAGGGGAAGCAGGGCTTGCGCTTGTTAATCTAGACTGGTTAATGAACTAGTGTGAAACAGTAAAGGAAACTAAAAGAGATGATAGAAGATGCAGAAGACACAAAACCTGCGTAGTATTTGTTAAGAAAAGATAGGTAATATGCACATGGTGGGTTTAGCACTCTTTGGACTTGGTGAATTTATTGAGCACATTTAAACGGGTCTAGCTAAATTCAGTAAGGGCTTTTTGACTTGAGTAAAACAGCAAATATTTACTGACCGTATGTCTTACTTTAGCACAATAATAGCTGAAGGCAATAAGGCATATAAAGTTGAAGAATACATTGTATAAATACAACAACAACATCCAAGCCTTAGTCCTATAAGATTTTTGGGTTAGCTAGCATGACTCGACATATGAAATCGAAGTTAAAAATGATGAAAAGAGAAAAGAGAGACAAACCAATAGACATTGCAGTTGTGTATAAGTAGAATTTTTAAGTACACATGTATAAATACACATGTTTAATTTCGAACTGCAAGAAACATTGATATTTGAACGGTAGCCGTTTAGTCTATATGTGGGGGAGGCAGGATCCGCATTAATTCCATGTCAACCATGTATATCTTCCTACCTTCTTTCTCCAAGAGCTTCTTGTTAAGATCCATTTCATAGATTTGTTTGCTCTTATGCTGCCTCCATCCCCAAAAAATATTAGTGTTAGACCAAGTTACAACGTTTTAAGTTTGAAAATGTCAAATTGGTAAGGCCATAGGGGTCATGAGTTATATACCTATACATTTTAAATTATTTTTTAGTTTAACTAAGTTTATCATATTTAACTTGCCCATTACTCTTTTTAGCAAATTGCCCGCATATTCATTTTATTTTGATGAAATATGACCCCATAACAGCTATTCCATGATTTTTTTCGGACTGAGTGAGTACTATTTTACCATTAGTTCTTGTTTTCCTTTGGAGTTTAATTAGAGACTCCTGACTTTGCATGTTCAGGTCTTATGTAATTGCTGCAACTGATGAAGAAGCTTCTGCCTCCCTTTCTGTTGTGACTGCCGATAGTAGAGCCTCGACAATGTACTCTTTGCATCTAAATGCTGCTTTCTGATCTGTGTAATCTTGTTGTTCGGCATTTCTACTATGTGGTTGAATAATTTTTTAGATCCAACTGGCAAAGTAAAAAAAGCATGAAATAACTTTATCTGTCTGATTGAATCCAAATTTCCTTAACAGTTCCCAACAGCAAAGGCTGGGTGCATAATCGGATGTTGCAAATCACGGGTTTCGAGGAAAAAATGGATTAACACATGCTGTGCAAAGTCAAACTTCCCTATTGAAGACTGCACCAAAAGTTTAACTAAAATTCTTAAACCGAATTGGAATAAGATAAACATTACTACATAAAATTAGTGAATAAGGGGTTGGGTTGACCATATGAGTTGTTAAAATGATATAAAATGGGATAAGGGGAGTACTAAAAACAGAGTTATCGTCGTAGACATTACCCTAGTTGGCCTTGATAAAATAATCATTAGATCTCTTACTGATTCAGATTGATGGGTGTTTCACTTAGTTTAAGTCTATGGGGCTTCATTTGAGAACTGTTGGCTAAACACTTTGAGCTAGTGGTAATGCGTAGTTGCATCAACATCATCACTGTATTATATCTTTTTTCAATTTATTTGTTTTATTATTATATTATTGTTATTATAACTGCATTAATATATTTTCTCTCCAGCTTCGATAAAATCATTGCTAAGGAGATACCTTCAACCACAGTGTATGAGGATGAAAAGGTTCTTGCTTTTCGGGATATCAATCCACAAGCTCCAGTTCATGTTCTAATTATTCCAAAGTTAAGGGATGGGTTATCACGGCTCAGTAAGGTTATCCTGTCTCTCTTTTCTTCCCCTCCATCTGTTTTTGAGGATAAAGGTTGTTGTGGTGCACTTCTTAGGAATCATTGCCTGCATGTTTATATTTGGGAAATGTTTATGCAGTTATCGCAGTGTTTAATCAATTCGAAAAGGTCATATTTTCTTATTTGAACAAGGGTTGTCAAGCTTTTATTTTTGTGCTTATGCATATTGTGGAAAATTTCCCACCTGAAAAATGATGTAATGAGTCATTATTCAAAACAATCTGTTACATATTCTCTGCGCCTTCTCATTATGCTTTGTTGCTGTCAATAATAATACTGGACTTCAAGAATTGGTCTACACTCTTTCCTTGCTTATCAAAATGTATCCTTCTTGCTGCCTTCGACCTTCCTCCACATGCCCTCCTTGTCTTTATGACTGAGGGATACTCTCACACCTCCAACCTTTTTACTGTGATTTAGGGTTTGTTTGGTTGCAGACTTAGGACGGGAGATAACGGGAGGGGTGATTGTTATTTTTTAAAATGATTTCTATATTAGATGGTTGTAAGTAAACTGAGATAAAAAATTATATAGAAATACATGATTTAACTCATATTTATAGTCTAAAACTATATAACACAGATAGGTTAGTAAAATATGAATCAATCATTCCCTCCTTGAACCAAACAAACCTTTATAAGTTTAGAATAGGACTTCAAGCACACATGCTACAGTATTTATATTGTTAAGCATAGTCAGATCTCATTATTAGTGATATGGGACTTCATTATCCTGCGTTTAAGTCAATCCTCATTCTTTACTGGCTGCATCCTATCAAAATGTAGGCTGAAGAAAAGCACACAGAGATCTTAGGACATCTTCTCTATGTTGCCAAAGTTGTAGCAGACAAGGAAGGAATTTTGGATGGCTTTCGGGTTGTTATTAATGACGGGCCTCAAGGATGTAAGTCCACTCCTTCCAATTGATGGTGGTTTTGTTTGTTAGGGAAAAAATTAAAATGGTTTCCTGTAGCTCCTAGAACGTGATTACGTGAATGGTTTCAAAAGGAAGAAGTGTTGTTAATCTGCTTATTACAGGTCAATCTGTTTACCATCTTCACTTGCACGTACTGGGCGGGAGACAGATGAAGTGGCCTCCGGGCTAAGATTCTAAGATCTGATACAAGAATAGTTCATATGTTATGTTTGTATCCTCTTACTCTTCTTTTCTCCATGTTCATCACCAAACTATGATTTGCCCTATTGAATTTTCACAATGTAACATGGATCATCAAACTGTCATGCATTTCTATAACACAGGCTAACCTAATGTTTCATTTTCATATTTGCGCTTTGAACTGAAAGCTTAACCATGAGCAGCTAAAAACCAATCCAGCATGTGTTGCAAACTTGCAACCTAGATAGTCAGGGACACATTGGAGTAGTACTCTGTGATCCAGTGCATTAGTGGTCAAATTAAGGTATCTGTCTTTTCTTTTCCCACTTTGAAATCACGGGGGAGCATGAAGACGTTGACTAGGAAATATTTGTGCAACAAATTTGAAATAGTTAGAGGATAATGAATTCATGACAATTGTCAATGTGGTCTATGCTTTCAATTTTGCTAGAGTGCATCCATAGTTTTTCAAGCTTTTCTGAATAAAATCCGTCATCAGTTTCCTTCCCATAGTCATCAACACCATGGTCAAAAGTGTAATTTCTACCTTTTTTCAGCATTCACAATATGTTGTCCTCTTATCCTTGGATTAGATCTCTCTAGTTTTGCCAATCTCACCTAGTCACCTTTTCAATAATCAGTGCAGCCACAATAGGATGCTTCAAATTCATAGTGAAATGTTCTTCAAACAAGTATATCCCTCGTTCATTATATTCAACTTGAACTCCCCCACAATGATTTAAACAGCTTAGCTTGCACAGTTATAAGGTGTTGCGCACACACCATTATAGAGTTTTCTCCCTTGGCCAATCTGGGGTTTGATAGGTTTCACGGCTACTTGCATGCTTTTCTAGTTTTCTGTCTCAATTTCACAGTTAGAAAGCAGCATTGCATATAGAAGGGTTATGTTGGACGTCATATTATTCTTAACAGGTGAAGTTCTTATTCTTCCGAGATAACCATGGCTGTCTTTGGCTGACTTATGGCGCTTGGTGAGAGGCATTAGTTAATACAGAGTACTAAAACCCTTAGAAATCACAGTTTTCAATGCAGATATATTACCAGACCGGCATTAAACTTGTCATTAGTTAATACGGAGTACTAAAAACCTTAGAAATCACGGTTTTTAATGCAGATATATTACCAGACCGGCATCAAACTTGTCATGGGCTCATGGCGGACTGTACATGGTTGTTTGGCTGTAACCTTCTGATTTGGCATTTTTGGGCCCTTTAGAACGCCTATAGGTTCCTTTATCACGGGCAGAGTTTCGAGTCCATGTTCATAACTTATGAGTGAAAGGTAGGTATATACTACCTCCTCATTTTATGCGTATTGTTTTGGTTTGACACAATTATTATCAAGTGTTTCAAAGTGTAAAAGTTATGGTTGAAATTTGAGTATAATAAAGTGGAATGATATGGATTGCATATTTCTTTAAAAAATGAAATCTAACACTTATTTTGTGACCACTAAACAAAAGTAAGACATGTAAAATGCGACACAGGAGTAATACCCATGGCTTAAGCGGCGAGACCGTACCGTTGAAAGATTTCACACCAGTTATCACCCAAGTGTTTGAACAGAACCAAGATCTTGATATATTACCCCCCCCCCCCCCCCCCCCCCCAGGCCATTCAATATTTCAATGGGCCGGTACATTAAACAATTCACACTTTCAGTCTTGGAGTCATCATATGCACCTTTGTTTCAAAGGGAAGACAATTTTTTTTTTGTCTGGTGTGGGCCGTGGGTGTATATTTGTAATTGTGTTATAAATTACACAGAAAATAGTTTGCTTTTTTATCTTCATCTTTTTGTCTACCTCAAAATTATCTTATTTTTATGTTTATAAAATAATGTAGCCGATCAATTATATATAAATATAAACAATAAATAGAGTAATGGATGGATAATTGTCATACTTATTAGGCACTCCTTTAGCCCTTTATAAGGAAATTTTATGGACTCTTTTATAATTGTCATGCTAGAGAATGAATCAATCATATATGGTTCATTATAAATACAATATAAAAGTGAATGATTATTATAAAATCATATAGGTAATAGGTGACATACTCTAATGGTTCCATATTTTTTTTGCCCTTTAGTATATATGCTTTGCCAATTTAGATATTGCTTAATATAGAACGAGAACATATATAAACTTTAAAAATAAAATTAAGTATGTTTAATTAAAACTTTCCAAAAATGATGAATAAATTCTATTTTGAGAATAAAACAATAATAATTATATTAATGAACCATATATTTGTTATAGTTCTAGACAATTTTCTTTTTCTCAATTCACATCTTGTGAGACATTTCACATGTAAAAGGATACCTTTTATTTTCAGAGATAAATAAGGGAAGATCCTTAAATAGAAGTAAAAACATTTAAAAATTTTAAAATGGAATTGTCATGATTTTATTTCGCAAATAAAAAGTAATTACTATCAAATTTGAAAATTATTGCGATGTTTAAAGTATGTATTGTCAAAACATGACCATAATGATTTCTATTTAGAGAATAAAAACGTGATAGTCCTATTTTAGAATATACAAACATTTTACTCTTGTTTATGACAATTTTTCAGATAAATATTACTATCGAAATCGGTGATACTAAATCATACTCCAAAGTCCAAACATTCCGATTGAAATAATTAAGATCATTGAATATTATATTCCTATTGAAAATGTGAAAGAAGTTTTCACGATCCAACAACATAGGGTCATGTGAAGCTGTTCTGTTCATCTAATTTTTATTACTTATTGCTAATTCTTATTCTATTTAGATCAAATCAGATCAAAGAGACTTAAATTAGATCAAATCAAAAAGATTTAGATCAGATCAGATTAAAAAATTCAGATTGAATCAGAAAATTTCAAATTAGACAAGATTTTAAAAAATTCAAATTAGAAACATCCACTCCCGCTTCTAAATAGCTCTAAAGTTCACCGAATATGTGAAACAAAAGGTTTCACGACCCAACAACATAGGTTTCACAAGTCACACCAATCCTTTACGTTTCATTCTTGGTATTGCCCACTACATAGCCTTATTGCTGTCCACCAAATACTACATGAAAGGACATTAAAGAAAGAGATGTGCTTCATTAGTAAGCGCACCAAACTCGGTCAGATAATTATTGCCTAGAAGGGTCACATTGAACTTGGTCCAAAAGGTGGAATTTCCCACCCTAGAATAGGGGTGGACCGGTTCCGGTTCGGGCTCGGTTCGGGCTTGGGCTCGGCCGGGCCTCGGTTCATGAAAGGGGAGGCCCGGAACTGGCCCGGGTAACCCCCGGTTCCGGGCCGGGCCGACCTCGGTTCATGTAATTTTTTTTTGGCTTTTCCTAATTAACCCCCAACCCTCCCCTCTCACCCCCAAACCATCCCAAATCACCTCAAATGGCCCATCATACCCAGCCCAACCCAAAAACTTAAAAAAATTCAAAAAAGAAAAGAAAAGAAAAAATAAATAAATTGGCGTGGACCGGGCCCGAATCGGCCGGGCCGGTTCACTATTTAGCAGGCCCCGGCCCGAACCGCCTACCTCACCGGGCCGGGTGGCCCAAACCGGACACCAACCGGTTCACCGGGCCGGTCCGGGCCCGCACAGTAGCGGGCCGGTCCGGTTCCGGACCGGTTGGCTCGACTCGAGTCCACTCCTACCCCAGAAGCCCCCCCACCCCGACCCAACAGGATGGTGGGGAGGTTAATCACGGTGACTCAGTAGCAAACCGGCGGTAGGCCTTATACATGTGCGCACCAGAGGTCCAGCCTTATTTCAGGTTCTGTAACCTCCACACGGCCGCTGCGGGTTTCGAATCTTGGTCACTTGGTCCAATTTTCCCACCACTCGACCAACTGAGCTACCCGTGCGGGTGGGTCACATTGAAGTGTGATTACCATTTGAGGGGAATCTTTGCTGAGCAAAATTGTCCCAAAGAGGGCATAGGCAAGAACACACTTGGATTGAATTGGCACAAATCAAAATTTCTTCCTTTTTACACATACATTACAAGCATTTTTCATATTTAGAGTGGATTTCATCCGGAAAGATCTCCCTAGCGCAGGGGTGGAGACAAGGGAGGCTGGTGGGGTGTCACGCCCCGGACCTAGCCGGACACGTCAACAACCCGCCGTACAGTACGAATAGCCAACCGCAGTCCAACTCATCCATACTATACAAGGCGTCATGAATATCGTTCACACATAGTACATCCATAAACAAACATAATGTAAATCATTCATTTAAAACAGCGGAAACAACATTACAAGTGTTCAAGCCACACTTGGCAAACATGGGTATACAAACCCCTGAAATGTATATTCAGAAAATAATATCCGTGAGCATTATTCATATTGTTTTCAAAACAAGAACGGAAGAAGCACGAACCAAGTCTTCTTCTCAAAAACTTCCCGAAACAGCGGCTGGTAGTAGCAACCTTCAAGTTCTACCTGAAACTGTGAGGTGGCCTCCCCCGTGAAGGGGAGGTCAGTACTTGGAAGCATTTGACAAGTACAATGACAACTATACTAAGTATAATCGAAGTTTAAATCTCTGAGGCCCTAAATCTAGAGCATTATTACATTATAGTTAATCCGTTCATTTAGTATCAATTCATCATTATTTACTACGGTCTAGAGCCCAACTCATAATCACCGTTATCTACTACGGTCTAGAGCCCCGCTCATAATCACCGTCATCTACCACAGTCTAGAGCCCAGCTCATAATCACCGTCATCTACTACGGTCTAGAGCCGAGCTCATAATCACCGTCATCTACTACGGTCTAGAGCCCAGCCCATAATCACCGTTATCTACATCGGTCTCGAGCCCGACTCATAATCACCGATTCTTTATAATTCAAATTCTTAGGATCTAATTCACCCATTTCTCAACTAACATTTCCAACTAATATCTCAATGCTAGATATTTATTTATTTCAATATAATTCTTCCTTCATGCATGATTGGCCTTAATATCAATATCACTTTTATACTTTCATGGCTTCTCCTCATGGTATCAAAGTATACTATCTCAAATGAAATTCATGGTTGATACAACCATCATACACTCATATTCATAACATCTAAACATACACAATTTATTCATAAATTTGTATATCATGCATACTATACTTATAATCAATAGTAGTTTTATTTTGGCATTATTAACCATTAACAACTCATGCACATCACATTTGTATTCACTTAGGGAATCCCATGAAATTAACCCAAAGATTATAAGCAACATAGTCGGTCATCCTCACCTTAATTAAGCTCAAACACGTTCTACGCTTCTCGATTGAACTTTGACTAATTTCGGCGAACTTTGACCAATTCCGGCGAACTTTGACCAACTCCGGCGAACTTTGACCAATGCCGACGAAACTCCGGCGAAGCTCAAAAATACTTTAAATCAAGTTCCTAACAAGGTTTTATCATCACAAAACCCATATCAACACAAATAACCTATAAAAGGTTATTTTCCGGCAAACCGGTCGATTTGGCTTCTATGTCCGTTCTTGGACATAGAACCACTTTCCAACCCATAAATCCATACTTAGAACATGGAGAACCATCCCAAGGGTTCTTCATATAATAAATATGCCTCATGGTAGAAGAAGAATAAAGGGAAAGCTATGGCAAGGTGATTACCTCAATTTCCACACTTTCCTACACCTTTTTCCTTCTCCAAGCACTCCTCCTTGGATCCTCTATCTTGAGCTCGAATTTGGGTGTGAAAATGGTGAATTTCAGAGCTCCTCCTTGCTATCTTAGGGTTTTGGTACGAGTGGGTGGAGGTGGTGAGGTGAGAGGGGTGGTTTTTGTCTCATTTAGACAAATGAGTGAAGGGAGGGGGTCTACCAAATGTCAAAGGGTGTCTCCCCCATCCTATCAATTGTTATTCAGCCAACTTAGCCCTCATCCAGCCCCCAAAGGTTGACAAATTCGTGGGGTGGCCCCCACCCATGTGGGAGGTCATCCTAATTTGTCCCAAAGTGTACAATTTGCCCCGAAAGTTGTATTTTCCGGACTGTTTTAGATATATTTTATTTTATCGGGTTAAATAAATATATTACGTGTTCTTAATCATTATAAAATTTAGAATGAATATGCATTCCCCAACTTTAATTTATAAATCTCCAAAATCCACTTTCGGGCTTTTATCTCATAAATTTATCGATACCGGTATTTGGGCCTCTATTGACCGATCGGTCAACTCTGGGCCTTTCCATGGCCCAAATGAAGTATCCACCATCTATAAATATTTTCTAGACCCAGATGAATATAATATGTGGTCCCGATAATATCGGGTGGTCCCCACTCCCGATGTGGGCCCCCACGTGCATTTTACTATTCACGCGAAAAAATTAATACAAATTCACAACCTCGTAAATTCACTAAAAATTTCATAG